GTTGGTTACAACTACCTGGGTTGTCCAAGCGTAGGCCCAAAACCATACATACACCTACATCTTCCTATAGACTCCTACATACTGCAACCCTATATATCCGCCTCTACACCCCTATCTAACCCCAAGTGTGCCTGAAGTTAAGGAAGACCATTTCTGGGCGCTTTGTGAGCAGCAGCCACTGACTTCCGTTCAGCCTCTGATCCTGGGTTTCAGGCTTATGGGGGTCAGAGGGGAATAAGGGAACATATTGGGGTTAAGGGCGTAGGGTTTAGGGTTTGGGGTTGTTCCAGGCTTCATGATACTTAGCAACTAGGTTTTAGGGTTTAGGATTTAGGTTTTATTTGGTATTAGGGTTTAGGGTTTAGGGTTCCATGAACTTCTCAAATAGGTGACTATTGGGGCTACAGGAGAGCTATCAGCAAACTTACCTAGTCTCCCCCGACCCTCCAAGTGGGGGTTGAGGGGTCTAGGATTCGGGGTTAAATCCCTAAACCCTAAATTCCAAAACCCTATATCCCTACTTGAATCCCTAAATCCCTAAACCCTAGAGCCCAAGCGTTAGGTTTTGGCGGCGGGGCTTTGGATCTGGGATGATTTTGAGACACCCAAAGTCAAAATCCTATTCCACTTTAAAAGGAGGCGCCTAGCCTGGGATAGGGTTTTGGGTTTAGGATTTAAGGTTTGGAATCAAAAAAACCCTTCTTGAAGAGTCAGGGGGACCAAGTTGGTAGCTGAGTCTGGGAGGTAACTGCATATGTTGTGGCTGATAGGGGTTATCAACCCACTTACTAAGTCCCGCTGACCTTCCAAATACGAAGATGACAGTCCCTTGAAAAATGCACGATTTGGCCTTCCAAGTTAGTTTGGGAGAGGGTAGCAAACCAACATGCACCTTCAAAGCAAAGGGACGAAAGGAGCACCAGGTCGGGCAAGGAAGTTGTAAGGTTCCACCGCAGCCGCCCCTCCCCTAAAATAAGAAATCGCCCAACTGGTTGTTTGTGAGCATGGGGACGTTTGATTAACCCTAAACCCTAAATCCTAAACCTAGGGGAAGAGACTGAAGATAACTCAAGGATTGCCTTGGCAAACTTTTGTGTTTCCCTACACAGCCTCCTACACTGCCTTGCAACTGGCAGAGGCTCTGATTTGGAAAAGATTTCGCCAAAGCTCTTTAAGCAGATATCTGGCCCAAGAGCCTTGTCTGGTCTAAAGGTTTAGCGGAGCTTGTTTTGGGGTTCGCTCTGCCGTGCCAAAGTGCTCGTTTTGAGGTAAGACCGTGCCAACAGCCTTGACATTTCTGCGCTTTCCAAAACGAGGTAGTGACAGTGAGAAGAGTTCGGCACTGTGCCACGGCGCACAGGACTGTGGCAGCAGCGCCTTCCCAACCACAAATTGCGAGAGCGCTCCACGGGATCAGGCGAAAGCGCATTCCCGCAACCCCTTTCAAAGCCATCTCTGGATGGGAGCACGGGGAACGACCCGCACAAGTTGAGGGCCAAAAGCCAACGACAATTTTGAACTTTACGAAGATGAGGTGCAGACCCCTCCCTTTGCAACTTGCACCTTCTTGAAAACAACCTTTGCAAACATGGTCATGCAAACATGCTTTGGAGCCTTGGGCTTGGGGTTCAGGGTTGGTGCAAACGCCTTGATGGTCAATACCCTTTTGAGCTACGCTTGCGCGGCCTGATATAAAAACATGTTTAAAAAATGACCATGATAATAATGGAACTGAAAAACGTGGTGGTGAAGGGTGCTGCCCTGCACCGTTTGCGAACATCCCAATCACATGTCCTACATGCCGTTGGGGCGAACCGGGGAAAACACTCTTGCTGGCATGCTTTCCAGAGGTCACAACACAGTTGTTTAGTGCTCTACAACACGAGAGCAGACCCTCCTTTGCAGATGAGACATGCTGCTCGGACGAAAGTCTTGTAAAGGCTTTGGCAGGCAATCTTTGTCAACATAAGCTAGAGTCTAAACTCTCGGTATCCGCCTTAGTAGACCCTATGATAGCCCCCATGTATAACTTTATAAAACCCCCTATTTAACGCCCCTTTAAGGAGTTTAGATTACAGCTCACATCGAGAGAACACAGTACTCTTGTAAGGTAACCTTGCAGAGCAAAGCCTGTGAACCTTGAAATTCAAACCCTGCCTTCAACAACTCTTCGAGGAGGGGTAACAAAGACTCCCCCAACCCCCCTTGCCCAAATGACTCCATCTGAAGCCTGGTTCACTCAAACCCTAAACCCTAGACCCTAAACCCTAAACCCTAAACCAACCTGAACAACCCCAAAAAAAATGAATCAGGATCAATACGGATGCTGCCCCAGACTCTCTCGATCCTTGTCCAGGAAGGAAATCCTGGGTTGCTGTTCATGTAGGAGAAATCAGACTGCGGTTTAGCGTACCGCATAAGGATTAGACTGGGTTGCTGTTAAGGATCTTACAGTAATTTCCCAAAAAAATACGAATCATTATATGGTGATTTAAGTTAAGTTCCTGAATAGCAACCCAGTAGAGCTTAGGGCTTGGGGCTTGGGATTCAAAGATCTGGGCTGGCCATGCTGTATGTACGGACCCTCGTGAAGTATACTTAAGTACACATATTCTCCATACTCGGAGGGTCAGGGGAACTTAGGAAGTAGGTAAATAAGCCCTGTAACCCAGATAGTAACCCTGGTTATCCCCATCATTAACCCACTTACTAAACCCCCCTGACCACCAAGTAACCTTACATGCAAGCCCAAAAGGGGCCCTGCCAAAGACCACTGTCCTTTGTCAACGCAGACTTCCATGCTTGTGGTTGGGTAGCCTCAAACTGGTAGTTTCCCAAAATACGGGGAACCTGACATAGACCCAAAAATACTGTAATCCTTAATCCTTCTTATCAGGGCTCCAAAATGGTACCCCTAACTTTAAGAATCACCCAAATAGCCCGTTTTATAATCCAGTGTCTTGGTATGCGCGCTCAAGCCGCCAGAGGAAATCTGCCACGGGCCGGCGAACCTGACATCTTAAGGGTTTAGGGTTAAGGGGTTAAGGGTTAAGGGTTGGGGCTATAAGCATTATACACCATTGAAGGTTAAGGGTTTAAGGTTTAGGGTTATAGGGTTTAATTCTTAGGGTTCAAGGTTCAGGGCTTAGGGTTTACAGTGAAGAGTTTAGGGCTTAGGGTTTAGGGTTTAGGGTTCAGAGTTTAGGGTTTAGGGTTTAGGGTTTACAGTCGAAGGGTACAAGAGTTCCTTGAAGAGGTTATAAGGGTGATAAGCAATTTAAGTTGTAGGGTACATGGGAATAGCTAGAATAGTAGAGAACCAGGTGGAAAAGAACATGCAAGGGTTTGGGGTGGAAGCTTATGAGGGTTGAGGTTCATAAGGGGTATACAAGGATGTATAGGGTTTGTAGGGACATATTGGGATAGATAGGTAGATCTCAAAATTAAGGTCCCATTTCGGTAACCCTAAACATTCGGTGCCGTAATAACGTCTTTAACCAAAAGGGGCCTATAATTTTGGGAGCAACCCTAAACCATCCTAAACCCTACACCCTAAACCCTATTTAACCCTCATATGATCCATGAAGATTTGGGGTTTCATGGTTTAACGATTCTGGGTTGAACGTTGGGATTTGGGCTTGGGGCCTTAGGGATTTCGGCTTTCAGGATTTAGGGATCAGGGTTTGGGGGGTTAAGGGATTTAGGGTTTAGGGCTTGAGGGTTAAGGGTTAACGGTTGCGGGTCAAGCGATTTAGGGTTTGAGTATTTAGGGATTGGGGTTTGGGCGTAGGGGTTGAGAGAGTATTTAGGGATTCGGGTTTGAAGGGGTTTCGGGGTCAGAGCCTTTTTTGGGTTTTCCCCACCACATGAACGATGGAAATGCTGTCCGCAAGGGGTTTAGGGCTCAGAGTTTAGGGTGGGTTTGGGGTTACCTAAACCCTGAACCCTAAACCCTAAACGGTTTAGCTTCAAGGGTTGCGGATGAATCAACCACCCGCACACAAGCAGCTTTTAAGCTATGAGGGTAAATGCAGTGCTGAGCAGCCTTTCTCCTAAACCCGACTTTTTCCTGAACTGCACGCTCCGACTTCTTAAGATTTTGGGGCTTTGGGTTTGGGTATCAGGATGTACTTGGAGGGAAACTTAATAAGTTGGTTAATGATGGGGATAGCTAGGGTTACTATATGGGTTCCAGGGCCTATTAACCTACTTACTAAGTCCTCCTGACCCTCCAAGTAGGGCATAGGTTTCCAAGAAAGGCCATGGCACAACCTTCATTGCCACACCCTCGGCCCTGTCCAGATTCTCACCCACAGAGACACAGAAGGGCGAATTGCGGCGGGCCCCAATCTCCTCAATAGGGTTTAGGGCTTAGGGCCTAGGGTCTGGGGACATGGGGCTTAGCGTGTAGGCTTTTGGGTTCTCGAAATGCACTGTTCCTGTTCGGAGGTTCCTTGTCCTGCGGTCATTTTGAAGTGCCTAAAACACGAATAGGACATAGTAAGAATAATCATGATGGCAGTATGATGGCTTCTTCAAGAGCTTTGGTCTGGCTGGCGAAGGTTTACACATACTGCGCTGCTGTTAAGGAACTCAAATTAAGTTACCATATCGGGAAATCCCTAGTAATTACTATATGCATATACCCACTATGGTAACCCTAAATCCTAAACCCTCAACCCTAAACCCTGTCACCCATTCTGGTACGTAACTTAACTTCATGGGGGCGATAGCTTGCGTGTGGGTTTCCGAGGTTTGGGGCTTGGCGTTTTGGGGTCCAGGGTTTAAGTTTTAGGGTTTGGGGTTTAGGGTTTGTACTCATGGTATTTTGGCGGTGGTACCCCTGCGACCTAAGCATATTTAAGAAGCAAGTATGAAACACACTGCATATTGTCTGAGAGAGAAGGAAGCACGCAAAGATGATCGTGAAAACCGTTTAGGGCCCACACCCTTAATCCTAACCCCGGTGCTCTCTACACCAAGTCTGGGATTGCGCAGTCCTTCTGGAACACCAGAAGGCCTGCCTGCTCAAAAAAGAAAATTGCTTGGAACACCTCCTCAAAGCAGAAATCGTGATATATGATGGTCTCCACACAGCAAGGAATGCTTCGCAAGACGTGGAAGGTCTCGCGCACGACGCTTTCAAAGGAGTGCTGCGCATCAATAACAGCCGCTGAGAAATTCTGATCCGCCAGAGGTGCAAAAGCATAGGGCAGCGCGGTATCCATGTGCATCCGTACTACGTTGTTCAGCGGTGCACCGTCGCTTGTCAGCAGACGGCCCGAAAGAAGGTGATAGTCATTGCCGTCATTGCCCAAATCCCAATATTTTTCGATGGCAACGACAACAGCGAAGTTGACAGCAAGTGCGGCAGTTGTATGCCCTTGTCCGGCACCAATGTCCAAAGCAGCTCTGGACGCATACCTCTTCGAGCGGAAGAGGTCAATGATATCTTGCTTGAACCTGACCTCAGCCAATCTTACAGGATTTTGAGGGATCTTGTAGACACTTGTAGCCCATGATACGTCTACAAAAAATTCTTCAAGACAGATCCTGTAAATTGCCGCAAACCCATGTAACCTCCAAACCTCGAACCCAAACCTCCAGAACCTAAATGTCGGAGCCGATGACGGTTGTAAGGCCGCTTTGCAACGTTTGCTTGGCAAGCTCTGCTGCGAAGCATGTTCTTCCCAGCAAGAAGCCCAAGAAGCAGTGCCACCAGTCTCGGCTAACCATGGCAAACTCAGATTAGTAGCTTAGGGCTTCAGGCTTGGGACATCAGGTCAGGATCTGGAGGGTCGTCAAAGCTATTATCGTACCTTTCTTGGGTAGCCAAAACATTAAAGGCCATGTCATGCTGAAGACAAAAACGCCATTTTGACCACCCCCGCAGCTAGCTTCGGGTATGAGATTCGGGTTGGTGTGTAAGGTTCAGGGTTGAGTTGAGAGGTCAAGGCTTAGGGTGCGGGCTCAGAGTTCAAGGTTGTGGCGACGGTTGATGATAGGGCCGAGGGGATATAGTAAGGCTTAAAGAACAGGCGCCCAGCATTTTTAACATCAGCAATTTAGCATTTTTGCACGTGCCAGTCATTTTAGGCATTCTCAGGAGATGGAACGTTTTTGGAAGCATTTAGCTGGCGCGCTGTTTTAAGCACGATGGCCTTCAAGTTCCGAAGCAGAGGTGGTAGTCGAGGCTGTGGCGCGACGTGGGGTCGTCCAAAATATGTTTTTCGCCGCGGCGCAGGTTTGGGGTTGACAGTGTCATGCGTGGAGAATACACGCAGAGACTTAGAAAGTCATGGTATGGTTTTTTGGTGGCTGAACCAATTGGGATGCTGTTCTTCTTCTAACACAGAATGTAGGGATAGTCCGTATTAGTGTATATTGGGAACATTATACCGAGGATGTTTCCCGGAAGCGCTCTATTTCTTTGCAGCACTTTGTGCCACAGCTACGAACTAACCAAGACCTCCGATTCAACACGTAGTGTTCCGTTATAGGGTGCGAGGTTTCGGGTTTAAGGTTTGGTTTGGAGTTTAGCAAGAAGCAAGCTCATCTGGGACACATGTCTAGGGCCAAACGGCTGCAGCGAACGTCTTCTGCTGCCGTTTGATGTAGGCGTATCCGTTACGCAAACCCCTTCCGTAATAACAACAATCAGAAGAAGCCCCCCACGCACCTTCAAGCAATAAATGCCCCAATATATTGCCAGTTTATACCGGGAGGTGGAGGAATAACACTTGGACATGGGCGCCTCTCCAACATCATTGAAGGGCCAGGTGGACTTCGTATGTAGGTTAGCAAGGGGGATAGCCGGGGTTACGCCATGCCTCATGGAGATCTTAAACCTTAAACCCTGAACCCTAAACCTTCAACCCTAAGCCGTAAACCCTAAACCCGAAACCCTAAACCCTAAACCCTAAACCCGAAACCCTAAACCCTAAACCCTCACTCACCATCGACCCTTCAAGTTTCCCCTGAGGCCCTGGGGATGAGAAAGACTATCCCAGCATTCTGTGGATAATTAAAATATTCAAGAAATGGGAAATAGAATTAGGGGTACCTTTTAAAGCGGATATAGTGGTTATGCAGAGGTTATATATAGGGCTATATAGGGTTTAGAGCTTCTAAAAATTAGGGATATTACCCCCAAGAACGGAGAATCAAACGCAAAAGAAGGTGGAAAATGAAATGGAAACAGTTGATTATAATGATTAAGGTTTCCCAGCATGAGGGGTACATTGCATACCCCAAAGTACTTTGCATACCCCAAAGCAACGTTCTCATTATTGAGGCCCTTGCATTGAAATTCGAAAGTTGGGGACACTGCCACTGGGATCTTGCAGCAAGTTGGGTGTAAAAGGACCCGCACTACGCCAATTGAGAACTTGGGGAGTACCCTTTACCCAAAACCCTGAACCCTGAACCCTAAACCCTGAAGCTCTGAACCCTATAAACCCTGAAGCCCTGAACCTGCAACCCTGAAGCCCTGAACCCGAAACCCCTAAACCCCTGAACCCGAAACCCCAAACTCCTGAACCCTGAACCCAACCTCCCAACCTTCGATTTCCAAGAGTCTTGGGCACAGCGCAAACAAAATACAACAGTTCATGCCAGGTTTCATGTGGGAGGACTAGTTGGAAGCCATTGATTACATCATGTAAGGTTTAGGGTTCAGGGTCGAGGGGATTTGGTAAGAGGCTAAGAATGGAGATAACTCGGGGTTTTCGTCTTGCTTTTAGTATACTTAATAGTTCCCCTTGACCAACCCTAAACGCTAAACCTCCCTAAACCCTAAACCCTACACCCTAAACCTCCTTAGACCCTAAACCCCCAACCTCCCTAAACCCTAAACCCTACACCCTAAACCTCCCTAAACCCTACACCCTAAACCTCCCTAAACCCTACACCCTAAACCCTACAGCAAAGTTAGGGGCTCCTGATTTAGGGTCTGAGAAGTAACGGGTGGTGCAGGTAAAGGTCATAATGCCTGCTCATGCGATGTTGGCAGATAATCCCCCTTAAGTAGATAGAATATAGGGTTTAGGGTTTAGGGTGTACAGTCCCTCTTAAGCAGATAGAATATGGCTTCGGGTGTATTCCAATAAGATCCCCATATACCCCATGTTCTATCTACTTAAGGGCGACTACATATGTGCCTCATAGGGCCCTAAATTCATAAACACTAAAACCCAAGACTCTGTAGTAGTTTCCATGTTCTTTCATGTTCTTTCCGTGAAACCCTTTATTGCGGACTATAGAAATCATGTCTAAAAACGAGGAGCTTGGAACCCAGGCAAGGCAGGAAATCAATAACATCAACTCGGGACTTGCAGTGACATGAAATAAGCTAACCAGTCCTTGATGTTTGGGTGCTAGTTCAGATGTCGAATTGTTCAAGGTTTAGGGCTTAGAGCCAAACCTTAAGCCCTAAATGTTTAGGGCTCTCCCAGATTTGGGATTGAATCTTTTTGGTTTTTTTCTCGGACCTTTTGTTGTGGCTTCGGGTGTAGGGGTGAGGCATTTTCACAGGTTTGGCTTTCTCTTGCACATGTTGGTTGCACCACGTCTTCTTCGGCCAGCAGACACACGCTTCGAGGTTCATGGGTAGTGATAACTTACGGGCGCCTCTAGCAAGGTTATGCTTGCATTAGGGTGCTTCCCAAAGTTAGGGTCCAATTTTTGGTACAGTACCCCTGAATATTAGATGCCGTAATATGGTCTATAACCCCAAAGGGGCCCAGAATTTTGAGAACCGCCCATTATACCAAGGGACACGAGTAGGTTATGAGTACTCCTGGACCTCGAAGTGCCCGACCGCCGAAGATTCTGTACAGGACGTGGTCACACAAAAGGTACATCTATACAGGTGGCCGAGCAACACCGACTACAAGATCCCGTCCCATCTCTCACGTGGGCCGGTGGTCCTTCTTCATGTTCCTACATGCCCTTGGGTAATGCCCATCCTAATAAGCCAGTACGTAGGCTGATAAGCCCATGTGGGCCACGTAGCATCCCCCAGTAATCCCCATTAATCTCCTTCCTAAGTCGCCCTGCCCCACAAAGGAGTCGTACTTGAAAACCCCATATGGTGCAGGGCTAGGTATCTCTGTGCTTTAAGCCTGGGACTCAAGGTGCAAGTCAATGCAGACTTTATGCCCGAGCGTGGTATGGAGTTATAGGTGTAGGGGACTATTGAATTTAACACGAACAACTCTAGAGGAATCTTCTGCTTATCTCATACCGTCTCAGCCAAGAAACGTTCAACCCCTAACCCCACGTCCTGCTACGGCAATCTCGGTCATTCATCCATAGACTTTTGCTCGGTCAAAATCACAAGGAGGCACCTTCTTCAGGCAATGTGCGCGGATTCGTGGCGGCGTCTGAGGGTTTGCGGGTCGGCGAGCTTAGCAGGACCGAGTTTTGAGAAAATTGAGAGAATAACACGAATAGTAATGATCAGCTAGTACTATTAGTGATATGGTTTTGCACTAGTATTGACGTTGTGAAACCACAAACCAGTGAGGCTCCCAAACTTCTGGCACAGCTTGAAGTATAAATCTCAATCAAGCAGCGTTCTGCTTTCCAGACTACAGAAGCCTAAATCCCAACGCGGTTTAGGGCTTAGGGTTCACCTAACCATCGACCGGAAACCTGCGGCGCTATTTCCTGAACCTTAAGGTTTGGCGATCCCCGCCGGAAGATCCGGGCCATACTTTGCAGCGAAGACGGCACGAGCGACTTCAACCTGTGAAGTGTGTCGTGATGTAGGGCTGAAGGTTCGTTGTTGTGTTGCTTATGGCTATGGCTTCCAGAATTAAGGATTGGGCCTCAAACAAAATATGGGTGACAAAATACGGTGCCCTCAACATCACCCCCAGACCCAGACCCGCAAATCACAGAAAACCCTATTGCACGGCTTATCAGGTAATGGGGACAGTGGGTGCCATCAAAAGTGGCCCAGGAGGACCCGAATATACTTTAGTCCCCACTGTTGGAAGCGCCCTAAAAACGGACACCTGATTTTTGGAAACCCTAAACCCCTAAATCCTGTACCACAATAAGGTCGTGCAGGATTTGCAGTATCAACAGTAGTATCAAGAAGCTCCGGGGCTGCACTCAGGGCTTTACTTACTGGTGCTGAGAGGGGAGTGACTATTAGGGACTAAAATAGGGGGGTTGAGGGTTTAGGGTTCAGGGATATATGGGGATTATACAGGGATTAAGTACTCTATATAGGGATTCTTAACATAGGGATCCAGTCCCTAAACGCCGCACCCTAAACCCTTTTATGGGGATCCACTGCCCCACTCTCCCTTAAGCACCACAGAGTTCAGGGATCCGTTGAAGAAACCTCAGGGCACTATATGGGGCTTTCCTAAAGTTAGGGGTACCTTTATGAGGGTTTCAGGTTTAGGGTTTAGGGCTTAGGGGGGGATAAAGATTCGAATACTTT